ATATATATATATATATATATATATATATATATATATATATATATATATATAAACTCAATTTTATTACTTATATGTATATTAAAAAAAATTGTATTTATATTTCAAATATATATACTAACTGATTATTATTATTTTCTTTTTATTATATTCTAAATATTAATTTTATTTATATTTTCATTATAAGCATAATTATAACGATAAGGACGGCATTTGTAAATGGTAACTCATATATTATAAAAAGTGTTTTAAAAATGTTGTTTAGAGTTATCTCATTAAATTTTTTTTTCTTTAATTACTGAACTACTATAAAAGTCTTACTTTTTCAGTGTACTGGCAAATATTTATTATGAAAATTTAGCTATTCAAATACATTGGACTTTACCAAACTAAATTGAGAATATTATGAATAAAGAACTGTTAATTAAAATTAGATTTTATTTTATCGCCATAAATCTTATGTATTGAAGGCCGATCATATATTCTTAATCTATCTATCTATTGTACTATCTATTTCTATTGTACCATTTCCTAGCAGGTATCTACACTTAATACTATTATACAAATATCGCATTATGCACTTTAACTGAATAAGCCGTATTTGGTAAGGAGTGTGAATCAAATTCATAACACGCAGCTGGCATTTTATGTTTTCTCCTGCTTATTTAGCATTACGCAAATGCTCAGACAAATCGCCTTGCAAAGCGAAAATCTGACGAAAAAAAATATGACTCATTAAATTGCAACTCGACGTTCGCGAAAAAAAACTTGTGAAGGATAAAAAGGGAAAAAAGAGGTTGCAAGTGCAGCAAGTGCTATGACAGGTGAAATAGAATAGAGAGTGAGAGAGTGCGGGAGACAGCGGGGTGCTCGACGTATTACCCTTTACACCCGAAAAAAACTTAGCGCCCATCTAGACGAAAAACGTGCTAAAACGTAAATCAACAGCGAAAATCGTGTTGAGCATTTTTCGCTATCCCCCTACCAAAAAAAAAAAGGAAAACAGAAAAATAGAGCAAGGAAAACGAAGAAAAAGCGTAAACAGTAGTTGCTACGAACTGCAGGGGGGTGGAGGGGACAACCGGGAGAAGCTGGACTCGAAAGTTGAAAAGTGGTAAAAGTCCAGAGGGAATTGGAGATTGGACATGGCTTTTGGCGACGACCCTCAGCTAGCGGGCAGGAGCAGGGCGTGGCGCAAGGGTTTGCAGCTGCTCTAGCTGCCGACTCCTGTCGCCTTCGCAACGTAATTCAATATGCAATGCCGTGTTAAAAGCTGTAAAAATGCTTAAGCGTTTTTCAATTTACCAGTTTTATTTTACGAACAGCTTTTCCTGCTAACACACCCACACACAGACAAACACACAGACATTGACCGGAATGAGATTTGCAGCTAACTCAAATTTCTTAAATGTTTTGTCGAACATTTGCAAGTGGCCGTTGGTTGGGGCAGGGAGCAGAAGTGGAAACTTCAGCAGTTTCGTAACGTACATTGACACTCGACACGGCAGGTTGATGTCCTTAAAAGCTGACTTGACTTGACGAAAATTACAGACCCTATTGGGTTGGGGGTGGGGCGTGGATAGAGCGCAGCGCCTAATTGCATTCTAGCTATTTAACCTTTGTAGATTTGCGGGACAATGCACGTTTAGCTTAAATGAATTTGATATTTATTATCATTAAATAATGTAATTTAAAATATGTGTTAATATTTATGAAAGGAAAGGAGTTTTATTAGTTTTATGCAGCGTCTTTCCCTCTGTTGGTATTCTCATCTCATAAATAGTTCAGATTTTCAAGGAACTACAAGGACAAAAATCAAACAAAAATAGCTTTTGATATCGATTTCATAAAAACTTTATTCATTATAAATTCTGTAATTTCTAGATATGAAGATATGCATTCTGAATAAATGAAATAAAATAAAATAATGTTTAAAGTTCTTATAGACTTTACATAAATATCTGCAGTTCATAGCAGAACCTTAAATTGATATATTTTAACGTGCGATATGTGCAGATATTAACAATGCAATAAATAATATTTTTTAATAAATCCATTTTACAATATCCTGTCGAAAATTGTAATTCATACAAGTCCCGAAAATATTTCCTGTAATATGAAACTTTTTGTTCCTGTCCTGGCTCTCACTGGGCGAAAACTGCAAACGCTGCAATTTGCGACGAAAAACAATTAAACTTGAACTTTTGTCACCGAAAAGGAAACAAAAACTACAGAAAATAAAAAACAATAAAAGCGCAGCACAAACTGAAAGAGCAGCGTGAAAATTGTCGTATCAGCAAAAATAAGGCGACAGCAGCAGAGTCCGCACTGAGTCCGACTGAGTCCGCACAGAGTCCGACGGAAAGTTTTTGCTCCTAGCTGGCGCTAATTAATTTTTATTTATTACGTATACGAACGGGCAGCCAGCGAATGCGGCTATTCAGCCAATGAAATTATTTGACCACACAACCAAAAAATATAATTAAATTTTCTAACAACCTTTCCTCCTTTGCAGGCAAACATGCACGCGTGGACCCACAGCAAACGGCACTGGACGGTAATTAATATAACATATAAACTGTACTATTTGATTTTCAGTCGAGCAGACTTTTATTGGCTCACAGTGCGTATACGCAATGTGCGCTAGCGAGAGTCTGCACAAGTGCAAGAAAGTAAATATGATTTGACATTTGTGAAGAAAATCGAATGCCAGACAAAGGAGCTTTGGAGTAACTGAGAGTCATTCTATTTGAACTTCCACAGAAGCGGACATGCCCCGATTTGCGGAGCCCATTGCCAATGTCACCGTCTCCATTGGCCGAGATGCACTGCTCGCCTGTGTCGTTGAGAACCTAAAGGGCTATAAAGTGGCCTGGGTGCGCGTCGATACCCAGACAATACTCTCCATACATCACAATGTCATATCACAAAATAATCGCATCAGTCTGACCTACAATGATCATCGATCGGTAAGCATGCGCAGAAGATATTTACATTTATTTTTGAATTTTGAAGTATTATTTGAAGACAAAATATTAAACAATAAACTAAAAACAAAAGCAAAAACAATATTACCTAGTTTATTAAGAACTAAAAGTAATCAAAATATTTATGCATTGTTAAGTTGTTGTTTAAGTTTTGTATTTTAATTTTTATTATTCTTTTCATTTATTTATTTTATTTATTTTTTTATGTATTTATAAATATTGAATGATTAATGAACATAATGAAATAATAATAATGTATAGTAATATTTTTATTTTTTGGTTCACTTTATTTATTGATATTATTATTATTTTATACCTAAAGAAAACAAACAAAATCAATTTATAATTTTAAATTATTGAAAAAATAGTTAAGTGTAAGCATGTATTGTATTGGTTGTATTTTAATTCATTATTAAAATTTAATATTAAAAAAATCTTTTTAAAAAATAAAATATTTAATTCATAAATCTATGATTTGAATATTTGAAGCCTATTAAATATTTATATATACATATATGTATATAAATAATACTACTTATAATAAAATTAAATTCTTATTTTTTTTTTAAATATTAATCATAAATTTGTTCGCTATTCTAGTGGTATTTGCATATCAAGGAGGTGGAGGAAACAGATCGTGGCTGGTACATGTGCCAGGTGAATACAGTAAGTTCGTGAAGTCTGTCTTTAAGAGAAATGAACTTGAATTGATTTGGGCTCGTTGTCCGTTGCAGGATCCGATGCGTTCGAGGAAGGGCTACCTGCAGGTGGTGGGTAAGTAGAGTGGGCAGAGCCATGCGCTGACAGCTGACCGCAAGGCACATAACGCATTCTTTGTTGACGCAGTGCCCCCCATGATAGTCGAGGGCATGACCAGCAACGACATGGTCGTCCGAGAGGGTCAGAATGTGTCGCTGATGTGCAAGGCGCGCGGCTACCCGGAGCCCTACGTCATGTGGCGGCGCGAGGACGGCGAGGAAATGCTAATTGGCGGAGAGCACGGTGAGTAAACAGCTACGCATCCCACAATCACAATCCGTGCACGCAATTCATCCCCTCAATACGCTCTCGCCCACACAGTCAATGTCGTCGATGGCGAGCTGCTGCACATCACCAAAGTGAGCCGTCTCCACATGGCGGCCTATCTCTGCGTGGCATCCAACGGTGTTCCGCCATCGATTAGCAAGCGCGTCCATTTGCGAGTTCAATGTGAGTATCTCTAGCGAACGAGCTTTAGTATATAGAAATCAATTAAATAAAGACAGTTCAATTAGAGAAACATATATTTTTATGCTTTGAATTTATATAAATATTTTATATATTCAATAATTGATTTAAAAATTAAGTTTGGTTTATATATATATATATATATATATATTGATTTTGTTATTTAATTTAAAGATAAAAAAAATTTATTAAATAATATAATATAATTATAAAATATTACATAATTATCAAAAAATGATAATAATTGAATGAGTTAATTATTAGCAATATTTGTAATGTTTCATTTTTTATTATTAATTATTGCTCTATTTATTTGCTTATATATCAATTACATAGTTTACATTTTTTTATATTTGGTTTATATTTATTTATTAAATTTGTATTTATTTTTATATTAACCTAAATTGTTTTTTTCTCTTTAAGTTTATAATTGTATTTATTTTTTATTATTCAATTATATAATTAGTTTTCATTAATTCACTTTATTTTTTTACATTATATTTTTTGACTTTTTAATATATATATATATATATATATATATA